ACTCGACTGGTACGCAGTTTCACTCATGGTATCATGAAAGTGTCTAACGACGATAAACATTCCAACCGGGGAAACATATTAACAGATTAACCCCACGTGATGTGTAGAGCAGTCGTCAAAACCTAGTAATCAATTTGAGTATACCAATTTGGTGATAAATGTGGTAATCCCTGTTACTCACAAGACACAGTCGTTCAGATTCCATGTGCTCATCAATATAGCGGAAGCAAGTCGTTGCAAAGAAGTTGAGATTATGATTAGTACGCAAAACCACAAGAGATTTGCGGCCATTCTTACTATCAGCGTGCTATGGTAGGAAAGGGTCACATGATTGTCTCATTAGTCATTAGCCAATCAATGGAACGCATGTGCAGGTTGCCTAAGCAATGATGATGATGACGATGATGACGAAGTGCATCGCATCATGGCCAGACATTATTGGTTTATCCAATTTTGTCATTGGTGAATTCCTCCAAGCCGTGAGTTCATTTTGTGAGCATACGAATTGTGTGTGTGTGTGTGTGTGACACTCTATAACCGAATCTGCTCATCGGGAAACGTAATAATCGGCCTTTGATGCCGAACAATACCACAGTGATGAAGCTGTGCTGAAATGAGGTGAGTGACACTCGTAATTCGCCGGGATATAGGCAAATGAAACAGTGCAACCGCTGTGTGTGTGTGTGTATCGACGACCATTTACGGTTATGTGACATGCGATAAATCAGTACAAAAGATGGGAGAAATCGACAGAATGATGAGTGGGAACACGCACTACGGCAAAAGAAAGGCAAAGCATTTATGATCTCCGTCAGTGCGCGAAAATGCACTATCGCATTTGGACGGGGTTCGCCGTTTCTGAGGGCTATTCATCTGGTCGACCAGAGGAACGGAAGAGTGAAACTAAAAGATTTGAGAATTTTACTGTGCAAAAGCTATGAAGCCGGGCGTGCTTCGGGGCAATTTTATCCAATCACTCATACACAAATAATTTTTAAAACCACCAAAAGCGTTCCGGATTGCTTTGTGTGAACACACAAATTGTTGTTTAATACGGAATATGAGTACAGAAACTGACATACGGCAGAAGGTAACTGTCTACAACACAGCGATTGTATCGTATTTGTCTGCTCATCGCTTGGGTCGATTCTGAGTTGGAACTTCTCGAGCAGCGAAGGATGTAATAGAGTACCACATTGGTAGCCTAATAGGAAGTGTGATTTGCGGTGCACAAAGGTGATCTAACATCTTGCAGTTAAAGTGTTTAAAGCCACTCTCAGACTATCCGTTTGTCGGACCAGATATGATGTGTGATAGAAGAGGAAGAGTGATAGAATACATAAGTGCCAGTAACGATAAGTGTCAATCGGAATTGGTAGTCACTGAATTCCGTAAATGCAAAAACTGAACGGAGATCTAATGCAATCCGGTAATCCGGTGTTTCTACGAAAATGCGAATTATTTTTCAACGAAGCAGTTTAGAATCAGCTCAAATAAAGTTTCGGAAAAAGGAACCAGTCCACATACATAGTATTCCTTTCTAAGGAAATTTTCTCAAGCGAATTAGACGTTTGCGATTTTGCGGATTACATTGCAAGAGTCAAATCCCAAAGTGGGTGACAGTAAAGCACAGATAAAAGGAATAAAACTATGGACACCGAGTAGCAATTATGCTAAATCCAACTTGGATAAAATGAGAATGCGAGAGTGAGAGAGAGAGAGAGATGATCGCGTATGAAGATCATGACATTTACGCATGACCGGTAGTTCGATCTCTCTCTCTCTCTGACCGCGTTCGACACTTCCGACCCCAGCAATCAACAGTCCGACATCTGTAATGCGCCTAAACTCTCTCGGGAAGAAGAATGCCAACTGAGGACACAATTGCTCACCAACCATGCCCGCGCCATTTTCGACAGTTGTCATGTGCTGCTTTGGTCAATCATCTGTGAATGAACCAGATTCAACCAACAATATGTACTTTTGAATGAGGAGAACGGGAAGCCGATAGCAACAACCCCATTGCTGTCCTCCCCATCCAGTGACATTTACAGCTGAGATATCTCAGTTTGCCCTATAGCACATTTCTATGGCAAATTAATGTACAAAATCAGAAACGGTTGCCCACAGTTTCAATTAAATACATAAATATACGTAGGAGGAGAAGCCCGGAGGGGGGAGAGGGGAACCTTACGATGAAATCGGAACAGTGGAGTCACAGCCCGACAGAAGGGGATGAGGCGAACCAGTGGCAGCTCAGTCTCGATGAAGTGGGCCAGTATGGCCTCAAGCATGGGCAACAGACGCACAACCATGTGACCATAGAGGACGGGAAAGCTAGGGTTGGGACGAGTTTCCGCATTCGCATTGTCCAACAAGGTGGAACGTGATGACGATGCAGATGCACATGCAGATGCGGTGTCACGTTTGAACGACGGATTCCACGTCATCCACTGATCGGGAATGAGCTCGTGTAAACGAAACAGGCATGTGGTCCAATGTCTACTGGAAACCGGATCCGGATGAAATGCTGGTTTCGAGGTGCCACGTTCACTCGGATCAGAGTCGGTTAACTAAATCGGTGGGAAGGAAAACAAGTGTAATATTCAATAAAAAGACAGGAAGAAAATACAGAATTCAACTCGATTAGCTATACTCGCGTCTGAGCATTTACTTGCGTTTGACACATACGGAAAGTTTCACTTTGGGAAAGATTTTCCGGCGACAAGGACAGTGTGAAGATGGAATTCACTTGATAGATTACATAGAACTATTCGTCTCTGTGTTAGGCTGTGCCCATCTTTTGAACTATTATTTTCATCATCATATCAGAGTGTAGTGTGAAATTGTAATAAAGTCATACGTGTTCGATTTCGAATGTTAATCATCTCCTCTATCTACCCCTTGGAAGGTAGTCATTTTGACAGCTTGCATCGAGACAGCACAGACAGATCGAAAGAATCGTTCCACAACGAGGCTCCTCGACTGCTTTGACAGCCAGATCGGATGAAGTATCACCAACTACGGTTCGAAAAAAAGGGTGCTCCCACAGGCGAAAAGGAATTCTTAAATGCCCAGCAAATTGCTTCCTTTCGCACTAATCAATCCGGATGGAAAATTCTTACGTATCCAGGTGTTTTGGGGGAAAATATTCCGCTATAAATTCAGCACTGTCTTCGCTACATAGCAGTCAACTGAAAAAGTGCAGCTTCCTGGGTTTCTGGGAAACTGTGATGAGTCTACAGACATGTGAATCTATCGGTTCTGTTGAACAGAGATGCGTCTCAAAAGGGTCAACACATTTTGAAAACGATATCCGAGAAACAAGAGCGGGATTTACTGTGTGCGCGCTACCGTCGATCGTGGGCGCATAATCCCCGGACGGCAAGTGGAGCCAACAAGAAATGAATCATGAATCAAATGTCACACATAGCCACGAGTTAAGCAGAGCTGAATGCTACCAGATGCGTCCCCGGGTTGTGGATAACGGGGATACCTTCACCGAAGCAGGTTAGCTGTGACTAAGTTGTGGCATACCGGAACAAATAGGCAGTCACGAAGAAACAGCGGAGACAATACCAGGGTGTGGTGGATTTCAAGCTGATTACTTGGCTCCTGCTCAAAAGCCGTATAAGCCCAATGACGGTGTCGTGACAAAAGTCGATGTGACTGGCAATTGACTCCCTCACTTCCGAGGCGAGGGCTTGCTCCCTGCTGCCTTTGCAGTTCACACTTGGTTCTGCAAAGGCTAGAGGTGCGCCCTCAAAATGAAAACCGCCAAGTGACGCTGGGGACGTCTCTCGTACTAAACACCCAAGGAACTTCATGATCGTGATCATGCCTAAAACCGGCTTATCCTTTTCAAGGAGCCAGCAACAGTAAAGTAAAAGTAATTCAAACGTCACTTTAACCCACAATAAGCGGGCACATAAAAAAGCCTCGAGTCCCAAAAACGTCAGCTCGATATCTGGCGTCATGTCACACTTGTCTTTTTGGGGAGCTGATGCTAACCATCGGGTACGACCATCCCGAGGTACCCCGCCGGGGACCCTAACGAGACCTATGTGATCCAGTACCTTGGTTAGGGATTTCATACTCTCGTGCCAGGTCATCGCTTGACCACCCCTGGTTTTATTCCACCCACTACTTGCATCAGTAAACATCGCTCACCGTGGTAACCTATCTGGTGACCAACGTAATTTATGGGCGTGGACCACTTGTTCCAGTGGGTGACCATGGTTACCTGAAACTCTACGCCTAACCTCAGCATTGCTCATTCGGTTTCCCCACCAGACTCGTGCAATGCTATGTAGACAACGGCGTTCGAACACGGAAAGTCTATCTTTATCCCTTTTTCTTAATGGCCAAGATTCTGCTCCATATAGCATAACTGACCGAACTGTTGCAGCATACACTTGATCCGTTACAGACAACCAGATGTCGCGACGACACCACAGATGTCTCAAGCTGGCAAATGCCAACCGAGCTTTCTGTATGCACGCCGACACTTCATCCGTGAGGCAAAAGTTATCCACCTGTTCTATTACTTCCCCAGTTAGAGTGAGGCTCGGTGCTGAACCAACCCAGTGTGCAGTAACATTTTACACTTTGAAGGTGCAAAATGCATACCGAACATGGACACACTAGAACCCAAACTTTCAAGAAAAGCTTGCAACTTACCTGCATCTTCGCTTAGTAGCACAATGTCGTCTGTATACT